GGGCCATCATCAAGACATGTTTTAGCAACTTGTTACTCCATTATTATTAACACATAAATGCATCACCATGCGTGCTCATAAGCTTCGAGTTAAATATTGTATTGATCTGTCACTCTCTGTTCCCCCAAATGATGAAAAACAAATTTCAATGTTGAAGTGCTTGCATCCGTGTACCAGGTGACATTTTTTTTCATTTTGTAACGTCTTTTAGATCAAACCCCGGGCCTTCCGCTCTCCGGGCGGACGCTCTAAAACTAGTCGTCGTCAGAGCAATAGCTCGCACTTGTGTATACATAGCTGATGATGAATATAGACTGAACAACAAAAGTTCCTGTGACATTGAATAAGATTTAATGCAAAGTTATGTTTTTTTACCAAATCTGAAACAATTTTGGTTTGCAACAGATAAAAGACTCCTGTAAGTGTTCAAATGGTTTAATTTGCCATACTGACTTCAGAAAAAGCTTGATTTCATAAAAAAAACCATGAACATGCCAAAATGTCAATTTACAAATCAATAGCCTGTGGGTCCACCTCTGGTTGCGATGCAAGCAACACATCTTCGTCTCATGTAATGGACCAGGCGTCGCACGAAGTCCTGTGGGATATCTGTCCATATCTGCTGGAGCATGTTTCGAAGTTCCTGGAGTGTCTGTGGAACACGTGGTTGACGTCGAAGGCGCCGATCCATCTCATCCCACATGTGCTCGATTGGTGAGAGATCAGGGGTGCGAGCCGGCCAGGGGATGACATTCACGTTGTTTTGTTGAAGAGAATCCTGAACAATATGAGGATGAGGCCGGGCGTTGTCATGTTGAAAGGTAATGCCTGGGCCATGACGACGCAAAAACGGTAGAACAACAGGGACGTCCATTGAGATTTCCCTCTACCAATATCAAACGGGTCCTCTGTCTTGCTGTAATCCCACCCCATACCATAACGCTGCCGCCCCCTAACCGATCTTCTTCCATGACACAATGATTGACGTAACGTTCATATCGACGTCGGTACACACAAAGCCGTCCATCGCTGTGGCTGAGGTGAAAACGAAACTCGTCAGTGAATAGAACTTGTCCCCACTGCATGGCCGTCCAGCGTAGACGCTGTCTGCACCACTGTAGACATGCTTGACGGTGGTTTCCTGTCAAAATGGGACGTCTGGCGGGTCTTCTGGCGACAATCCTTGCACATCTGAGGCGACGACGTACGGTTTGTGAAGATATTCGTCGAAGGCCAGGGGTGCTTCTTGCAGTCACTGTTGCTGGCTTGAATCGATTTCGTAGGTGTGTTGTTCGAATCCAGTTGTCTTGTCGATTATTGGTTACGCGTGGCCTGCCACTCCGAGGATGGTCTCTGACTGCATTCGTCTGTTGCCAACGTTGCCATAAACACCGAATGGTGTTTCTGTGGACATTAAATTGTCTTCCAACATCACGTTGACTCGATCCTGCTTCAAGCATACCAATGGCTCGCAGACGCTCATTTTCGGACAGGCGTGGCATTTCGTAATGTTGAATAATTGCATAATTATGTTGTTCTTCTGAGTGGTTGTTGTCAGCACGATGCTAAGAAATGCATATGGAATCCCGTTAACGTACATGTTTTTATACCCATACTTGGGTAGTGAAATGCATGGGACTTGCATAAAAGTCAACTTTTGCATGGAATGCATGCTTTTCTGTAGCAGTGGCGTTTTTGTGACTTGATTCCATATATATATACCTATTTATGTAAATATTAGCATCATGCATTTGCTCTAGGAAATATTGTAAATCTTCGGATGAAAATTCTGGAGGAAATAAAGAAATTAATTAATTCATTCATTATGGCGCTGATTGGCTCAGGCTGCCGGGCAGTGTCTCGCGCTTATCAGATCTCGCGCGCATCTTCGATCCTTAGTCCCGTCTTCAGCAACCCATGCTTGTTATGTTTGTTTGTTGTTTAACACTGCACTCAGCAATATTCCAGCTGTATGACGGTCTTCTGTAAATAATCGAATCTGGAGCAGACAGTCCAGTGACTGACATCACGTGCATCGATCCACGCAATTGGCATACGTTGACATGCATCAACAAAGTCAGCGAGCCTGACTACCCGATCCCGTTAGTCGCCTCTTACGACTAACCTAGTCGCCTTTTACGGCCAGCATGGGTTGCTGAAAACCTATTCTACTCCGGATCTTCACCGGTCCCATGTTTGTGGTAAGAGGCGACTAACGGGGTCGGGTGGTCAGACTGAATTACTTGGTTCATCTATCTATACGCACTTCTGAACACTTGGTTACCGGCGATCTATGAAGATTTCGATATTATAAAGGGCGCATGTTAATTAATTTCTTCAACCTAAACAAACAGATAAAATGAACGGTGGAAGGTCATCGGATGTCGTTATTTGGAAATACCCCTGGTGGTTTATAGTTTAATAGAAATTTATCCCTGCAATGAAAACATTTTCGTATTTCAGATTGCGTGGATAATACGATAGCTACTCCTTTCTTGTCAACTGTTTCATGGCATAACCCAACACTTGTGTATAAGTCGTCATTCACTTGATGCTCAGATAATGAATTTATTACCGTTATAATTAGCGGTAGCATCACTCCGATTACCTGACAAAGGTTCCCATTTGGCATTCTAGTGTCTGGGGGAATTGTTCAAACTAAATTCAGGTTTGAAGTGGGTTGAAGTGTATGTTATGTAATTTGAAGCGCAGCGCAGGAATTATCAGTTGCGTTACCAAAAATAATCCATCAAAGGATTAACCGAAAACAGGTTGACTGATTAATCACTGTTATTTTGCAAAGTGATATTTCACAAGCAAGTGTTTACATGTGTAGGTTTACGAAAGCTGACGGAATACGTACATCAATAGCTGGGCGTGAAGTGCCTATGTAAAAACAACATGCTTTGTTCAAAAGGGTAAGACGATAATACGTTAGTGATTGTTATCTGACTCATTGGTTTTTGGACCGTGGACATCATGAAAATAATTGTCATGTGTGCTTTCTCAGCTGACCAACGAGACTTGACACCTATGTCAAACACCTGAAACAAAATTACGTGATCAATAAGAAACGAACACGAGTTATAATGTCCAGAAACGCTATATATGTATTTTAAAATATAAGACTGTTACAAAAGACAAGAGTGGCCCAGTCGTCTAAGGCGCCGCGAATCGTTGATTGTGGGTTCGAATCCCGGTTCCCCCCGATTATGTTTCTAGGTTTGTCAGCACCATACCCGTACTCGTGGGTTTCACTGAAGTGGTAAACGTCAAAGACCTGCATCACTTCGGGCTTTAATCCCACATTAAGCGGACATGCCGTGATATAACAGGAATACTGTTAAAACTCACTCACTACAAAAGACACGTGACATCGGACAGGTTTCATTGCACAGATGGTCGTGCGTGAGCTCAAACTCAAATAATGTAATCTCTGTTTGAATAATTTTTTCGGAACACACCTGCACTTTTCAACTAGGTCAGTGTTTTAATCCCTTACAAAAACATCACATTTGCAGTTTATACTGTAACCACAAAGGTCGATCTCCTGTCTCCGTTCTTCGATGCGAGACTCTGAGAGTCGTTGTTTTCACAAGACTTTTCGTTTGTAAGCGTGTATATGTATATGGCACAGTCAATCTGTAAAATGTGATGATTCTCTCAGGCAATTTATTAAATGTCATCAGGGTATAATAATTAGTCTATTGCGATGTTTTTACCCATTTCGAATGTCTTAATACTTTTTAATTAATCTGTTAAATAAATGGACAGATTTTTCAGTCAATTTGTTAAATGAAATATTCACACAGTTAATAAATTGCCTGAGAGAATCATCACATTTTACAGATTGACTGTGCCCAGGGTATGAAACTCCCAAAATTTTCAGCCAGACCACAGGACTGGCTAGCTGAAATACTTGCCAGCCCTGACCAAAACCTGCCTGCCCACTATAATCATATGTTTCTCAGGATAATTTAATTAAAACTTTAAATCGAATTCACTGAACACGAAGTAATGCAAGAAAAGAAATAGCAAACACTTTTTAGGTCAGATTTGTATTTAATATCCTAGAATACATCATGTAAATAATGCTTATCATCGGGAAATATTTAGAATCTTTTTACAAATGAAATATAACCCGACCGTCGGGCAGGGGGATTTGAAAATCTGGCAGCCCGAGTTGAAATCAACCCGTCTCGGACGGTCGGGCAGGCAGGTATTTCGAACACTGTAAATGTGTAAATATTTCATTTAACAAATTGACTGAAAAATCTGTCCATTTATTTAACAGATTAATTAAAACGTATTAAGACATTCAAAATGGGTAAAAACCTCGCAATAGACTAATTATGCTAGGTTCAGATGTAAAAAATATAGAAATGTACTTTGACCTTCGTATTCTCTTGATCCTATCATTTTCAGTCACTGGGTGATGAAAATAAACATCGAAATGTTTGTAATTCGTTATCATAAAATAAACGGACAGATTTTTCTGTCAATTTGTAAAATAACTCAATGTTTAGGCGTTTAATAAATTGACTTAGTGAAAATTTAATCATTTTACACATTGACTCTAACATTACACACGATAAAATAAGCTAGGCTCAGGTGAAATATTTAGTTTGTGTTACAAATCCAGATAGTGTAAACGAAAATCGCAGAATTCAGAGAAAGTGACTTATTAAAACTTTGCTATCATTACCCCCAAGGACACCTACATTTCCTGATTATTTCCAAGACAAAACTGTATTTCATTTTGTTGATACCCCAAGCGGAGGATCCGGGAACCAGTCTAGAGCAGCGGAGGATCCGGGAACTAGTCCCAGTCTGGTTATCTGGGTAGGCTGCGTTCGTGCTGCGCTAACGAAATGATTCAAAGCTCCTCACAGTGATAGTGTTGGTGGAAGGAGCTTCGAAATGACTCCAACCCAGCGCGAGACACCTTCGTTACACTCTCGATATAGAGAGCTCCGCGAACGGGATATCGCTGTGAGGAGCTTGTCCAACAACAATGGAGGCCTTCGCGATGTAAACGAGGGATACTTTCTCATCTGTTATTATCTTTTACTGTAGAGAGACGCTAGAACGAATGGTGAGAGAATTTTCTTTGCATTTTAATGAATACTGTATGCATATGTCACGATAATAACGCCCATTATTACTTTTAGTGAAGGAAAACATTATTTAAGCTGTTTCGCGACACGAAAATCCTCGCCAGGGTCCTGTGGTCGTCGCATAGGCGAAATGTAAATAGTGACACACACCCCATTTCCAACAGCGATATGTGCGTTAATATTTCTTGCAGCTCGCTATTGTCACGAAACCGTATTCATTATACATAGAATTAAACGACCACTTTAATGAAATCTCGTTAGCATCTTTATTTTAGCATCAAATTTGAAGTCGCAAATATCGCAGATAATGCCCCATTTTCTATTTTACTATTTAGCCCCGACATTTTTGCAAAGAAAGAGTTTTACATAGATCAAAAACACATGATTGAAATTAATCGATTATGTCCTTAAAAGACGCTGTGGTTATGAATTCTCAAGGTTCTCCTGGTGTTAACTAATGATGGGTCATTGGTTCTATTTTGCCTCTATATTATATTCATATAAACATCCATTTATTTTGCATTGTTTCATTCTTACATTATGAATTTATTCAGACAATTAAATCTACTGATTTGTAAGACATAATTCATTTATTTCAATTATGTGTTTTGGGACCAAAAATGTTGTTCTTGAAACATCTTTAGGAAATGCATTAACATGATGAAGGAAGTGACAACTCCTTTATGTTTTCAGTGAACACCATAACATCCACAAGTTAATAATGGAAGTACAAAGCCAACCACAGAATCCTGGCTCTGTTACTGAAACATGTAATGCTGGAAATCGATACCCTCAAGAAATATCCTGTCACTGAGACGTGTAAACACTAACTGTGAGTGAAAATATCTGGATACAGGTGATCTCAAGAAAGAACCTGTTACAGAAACATATCTAATCATGGACTGTGAGAGAAAATTGGTGGAAACAGGTGATCTCAAGAAAGAACCTGTCACTGACACATATCTAATCATGGGCTGCGAGCGAGAATTGGTGGAAACAGCTGATCTCAAGAAGCACTCTGTCACTGACACAGGGGATCTCAAGAAAGAACCTGTCACTGACACAAGTGTATTCACTGACTGTGAGAGAGAATTGGTGGAAACAGGTGATGTCAAGAAAGAACCTGTCACTGACACAAGTTTATTCACCGACTGTGAGAGAGAATTGGTGGAAACAGGTGATATCAAGAAAGAACCTGTCACTGACACAAGTTTATTCACTGACTGTGAGAGAGAATTGGTGGAAACAGGTGATATCAAGAAAGAACCTGTCACTGACACAAGTTTATTCACTGACTGTGAGAGAGAATTGGTGGAAACAGGTGATCTCAAGAAAGAACCTGTTACTAATACAGGTGAAACCACCGACTGTGAGGGAGAATTGGTGGAAACAGGCGATATCAAGAAAGAACCTGTCACTGACACAAGTTTATTCACTGACTGTGAGAGAGAATTGGTGGAAACAGGTGATATCAAGAAAGAACCTGTCACTGACACAAGTTTATTCACTGACTGTGAGAGAGAATTGGTGGAAACAGGTGATCTCAAGAAAGAACCTGTTACAAATACAGGTGAAACCACCGACTGTGAGGGAGAATTGGTGGAAACAGGCGATATCAAGAAAGAACCTGTCACTGACACAAGTGTATTCACTGACTGTGAGAGAGAATTGGTGGAAACAGGTGATATCAAGAAAGAACCTGTTACTAATACAGGTGTATTCACCGAGTGTGAGAGAGAATTGGTGGAAACAGGTGATATCAAGAAAGAACCTGTCACTGACACAAGTGTATTCACTGACTGTGAGAGAGAATTGGTGGAAACAGGTGATATCAAGAAAGAACCTGTCACTGACACAAGTGTATTCACTGACTGTGAGAGAGAATTGGTGGAAACAGGTGATATCAAGAAAGAACCTGTCACTGACACAGGTGAAACCACCGACTGTGAGGGAGAATTGGTGGAAACAGGTGATCTCAAGGCAAAGCTAATTATAATAGAAAGAATCATGGCTTTGAATCCACGATCAGCAGGTCCTGCTAAGAGATACAACTCTTGTGGTGGTTCAGTAAAGGAGTCGCATAAGTGTCGTTTCTGTGAGAAAACATTTTCACAACATGGTCACATGGAGTCACACATGAGTATTCACACTGGAATGAAGCCATATCAGTGTGTTGAATGTGGGAAACGATTTGCAAGATCAGGTACTGTCAAGGCACACATGAGGATTCACAGTGGAATCAAGCCTTATCAGTGTGTTCAATGTGGGAATCGATTTAGAAAATCATGTACCCTAAAGACACACATGAAGATTCACATTGTTGTCAAGCCTTATCAGTGTGTTGAATGTGGGAAAAGTTTTGCACTATCGGGTGATCTGCAGAAACACATGAGGATTCACAGTGGAGTCAAGCCGTATCAGTGTCATGCATGTGGAAAAACGTTTACTTATTCACATAACCTGCAGAAACACATGAAGATTCACACTGGAGTCAAGCCTTATAAGTGTATGGAATGTGGGAAAGCATTTTCACACTCAGGTGATCTGAAGACACACATGAGGATTCACACTGGAGTCAAGCCTTATAAGTGTATTGAATGTGGGAAAGAATTTGGACAGTCAGGTAACCTGCAGGCACACATGAGGTTTCACAGTGGAGAGAAGCCTTATAAGTGTGTTGAATGTGGGAAAGCATTTGGACGATCAGGTGTTCTGCAGAATCACATGAAGATTCACACTGGAGTGAAGCCTTATCAGTGTGTTGAATGTGGGAAAAGATGTTCACTGTCAAGTAATCTGAAGAAACATATGAGGATTCACAGTGGAGTGAAGCCTCATAAGTGTGTTGAATGTGGGAAAAAATTTACACGGTCGGCTGATCTGAAGACACACATGACAATTCACAGTAGAGTGAAGCCTCATAAGTGTGTTGAATGTGGGAAAGAATTTACACGGTCGGGTGATCTGCATACCCACATGAGGATTCACAGTGGAGTGAAGCCCCATAAGTGTGTTAAATGTGGGAAAACATTTACACAAAAAAGTAACCTGCAGACACACATGAGAATTCACAGTGGAGTGAAGCCTCATAAGTGTGTTGAATGTGGGAAAGAATTTTCACTGTCAAGTAATCTGAAGACACACATGAGGATTCATAGTGGAGTGAAGCCCCATAAGTGTGTTAAATGTGGAAAAGCATTTACACAATCAAATAATCTGAAGGCACACATGAGGACTCACAGTAGAGTGAAGCCTCATAAGTGTGTTGAATGTGGGAAGACATTTACACAATCACGTACCCTTCAGACACACAAGAGGGTTCACTGTGGAAAACATTAAACTTATAAATGATAGGTCAATCAGTTATTCCTTTAATCCATGCATTATGCATTGAGTTTTGACTCCGAGAGATGGGTACATTGAGTGGGTGTTTGTGAGTATGCATATGGATGGGGATGGTGTGTTTACATGCATGACTGGATTGTGGTGTACGTAAGTATGGGTGAATTGAATGTGTGTGTGAGAATGTGCATGTATGGGCATTGTGTGTATGTGTGGATGGTGGTGTATGTAGGTATGGGTGCATTGTATGTGTGTGTGTGAATATGCGTTTGTATGGGATTGTTGTGTTTGTGAGTATAAGATGAAGGTGAGAAAGAATATAGTACCGCTCACCTATGTCTATTATATTGTATTGTATCGCTTTCCACTTTCATAAATATACTGAACAACAAAAGTCCCTGTGACATTGAATAAGATTTAATGCAAAGTTATGTTTTTTACCAAATCTGAAACAATTTTGGTTTGAAAAAGATAAAAGACTCCTGTAAGTGTTCAAATGGTTTCATTTGCCATACTGACTTCAGCATGTTCAGAAAATGCGTGATTTCATAAAAAAAAACATGAACATGCCAAAATGTCAATTTACAAATCAATAGCGTGTGGGTCCACCTCTAGTTGCGATGCAAGCAACACATCTTCATCTCATTGAATGGACCAGGCCTCGCACAAAGTCCTGTGGGATATCTTTCCATATCTGCTGGAGTATGTTTTGAAGTTCCTGGAGTGTCTGTGGAAAATGTGGTTGACTTCTCATCCCCAAATGTGCTCGATTGGTGAGAGATCAGGGCCGGCCAGGGGATGACATTCACGTTGTTTTGTTGAAAAGAATCCTGAACAAGTCGAGCAATATGAGGCCGGGCGTTGTCATGTTGAAAGGTAATGCCTGGGCCATGATGACACAAAAACGGTAGAACAACAGGGCCGATGGTCTTGTCGCGGTAGCGCTGTCCATTGAGATTGCCCTCTACCACTATCAAACGGGTCCTCTGTCTTGCTGTAATCCCACCCCATACCATAACGCTGCCGCCCCCAAACCCATCTTCTTCCATGACACAATGATTGACGTAACGTTCACCTCGACGTCGGTACACTCGGATCTGTCCATCTCTGTGGCTGAGGTGAAAACTCGTCAGTGAATAGAACTTGTCCCCACTGCATGGCCGTCCAGCGTAGACGCAGTCTGCACCACTGTAGACGTGATTGATGGTGGTTTCCTGTCATGAAACTTGATGGTATCCTTAGCTTACACTTTGTTATATAAAAGCACATGCAGTATTGGTAATCAATTTACTACCCTTTATGTCTAACGGAAATTAAAATTTCCGTACAAACATAATCGTAAAATGTGAAAATAAATTTAGAAATCAACTTATTATGCTTATTTAGATCTCATTATGTAAAAAATGTGTGCTTTAATACTTTTTTCTGTGTAATTTGTGGGCGGATGGCCTTTTAATACTGAATAAAACTCATCTATCTGACTGTATTTGTCATTAGTCAAATTAATATATTACAATAAATATATTTCTTCTCACCAGTACTGTGGCAACTGATATATGATTGTATGGATGAACATTTCAGAAACTGGAGTAATCAAATAACCTCACAACCATGATTATATGGGGCACATTGTTCAACATTGTTTTGAGTGAGTGAGTGAGTAAGTGGTAGTTTTACGTCTGTGCCAACCTTTCTGTAACACCAGAGGGGCTAAACACAATTTTCTGACCGTGGGAATCGTACCAGGGACATGTCATGCACTGCCATGGCTGCCAATATTTTATGAAGTTCAATGTACAGATATGTAAATATATTTACACGTAATATTACTAATAGACTGGGTACCTGTGTAATATACAACCAGTGGACAGGCAAGGACACATTTCTCGCTGGTGCAATGATTGGGCAAAAGCTCTGAATATTGATATAATTACTGAAAGGTGAACATATTGCGAAATCTGTTCTTCTGTCATTCATCGTAAATTTATGAAACTATACACAATTGTCAGTTCTATTTTGTTACCTGGAAATCTCACATTAACTTATTAAAAGACATCAATTATAAGCGCATCATATTTTTATGGTGACCAAAAACTGGTTTGTCTCCGCTTTTTTTTTGCACAGTGAATTTCACTTTAGTACAAGTTTTGAGAGGTGTTCTAAAGTTATCATCAGAGTGAATCAAGTTTATAACACCACCTACTTTAGTTTTATAATATTTGAACTATGAGTGAGTGAATTGGGTTTAACACTGCTTTTAACAGTATTCCAGTTATATCGCGGCGTGTCGGCTTAATGTAGTGATGCCCGAACTGATGCAGGTCTCAGACGTTTACCACTTCGGTGAAACCCTGGCGCACGGGTATGGTGCTGCCAAACCTGGAAACATAATCGGGGCGAACCAGGATTCGAACCCACAATCATAGGTTTCTGGCGTGCCCAAAGGACGCAACCCTGCACAGTGACGCGCAGCGCGACGGGGCCTATGAATTATGAAGAGATAGCACCGAATATCACATCAAGATCAAGTCTGTCAGTCATGAGTGCGCAACTTCCCTTTTTGTCAACCACTCCCAACCCTTCTTCCAAGATACCTGGGACTGTCCCTGTACTATGAACAACTTGAAACAAGGTACATTTGATCCTGAGGATGAACACCTGCGAAAAGAAAGCATACCTACCTATTGAAGCAAGTACCTGTATTGTCATAAAGCGTGCATATGTAACCCAGAAAATAAAGCAAATTGTAATTTGCATGTGATATCTTTGGAATCAGGAATGAGAATATGGTACATTTCAGTTTAAATATTGATGTAATATGACAGTAGAAAACAAACATATACTCTGCAAAAATAGAAACGCAAAAGTTGTAAAATCGTAAATATCTGACAGTGTTGAGGACATCCATACCAAATTAGTACCCAAAATGAACTGGTCATTCTGCATGGATTGGGATTCATTTATGTGGAAAGAATGGGGTACTGCAGACATTTGGTGAAAAATGGAAAAAATCGCAAACGCACATGAGAACCTGACGCCGAAACACACCAACATGACACGAACGTCAAATCACTTGGAGTATATAAACGTTGGTCTTTCATTTGCATGCCATCACAATTTTACAGCAAGTGAACAGCGAAAACAAGCCCCGAATGGCGGAAGCCCAACGCAACAACGCCATCGACCGACTGCAAACAGGAGAATTATTTTCAGCTGTAGCCAGGCTTTTCTGCAAAGTACCACGCACCATTACAAGGGACCTTCCCAGATCCGGTCGACCACGTCAGCAACAACCACAGAACCTCCGACAGTTGGCAGACTGGGTGAACATTTCCCAGGCCACAATTCGGGATCTCATTGCTTCCATGGAACGACGATATCAGTCAGTTTGGGACTCTTTTGGTGGCCAGACAAGATATTGAGTGAGGGGGTATGGTTTTAGCATGGCAGCAATATCACGGCGGGGGACACCAGAAATGGGCTTCACACATTGTACCCATGTCGGGTATCGAACCCGGGTCTTCGGCGTGATGAGCGAACGCTTTAACCACTAGGCTACCCGACCGCCCCGTTTTTATATGACAGTTCCTTAGAATCTGTATTAGGATCCATAACTCCAGTTCTAGCAAGAACCGGTTTGAGGAGAGGTCCGATTACGAAGTACATGTAGCTGACATAGCGCATGGATGTAACCAGTCTTTCCAGGAACGTCTCCTCAAACATTTCCGCAGCCTTTTTTTTTTATCCATCTCTCACTCCGACCTTGACCTTCATACTCTTCTTGATGTGGCCACACATCTTCCTTATAATGTTTTAGTGTGTTCTCCCCCAAAGCTGGGCTTCATGCAGTCATTGTACCCATGTTTGGAATCGAACCCTAGTGTTCGGTGTGACGAGCGAACGCTTTAACCACTAGGCTACCCGGCCGCCCACAAGATATTGAGAACAGATGACCTTTCCCTTGAAAATCTGCTCTTCCATGTGTCATATGGAACCTGGATCAAGGACAATGATGTGTGCCAATTAGGAACAATCGTTTACCCTCTGTTGATTATTTATATGATATATAAAATATACATCTATAATCACTTTTGCGTTTCTTATTCTTATTTTATGAAAACAAAACTAGTACTGTGTTTTCACAACAACGATGGTTTTCAAGGAACAAAAGGGGTGCACTTTTTTCATAATTAATATTTTTAAGTAATAACTACATTGTTGTAATACTTTTTTTATAATGAAGTAGATCAGTTGAGACTGACAGATATCGAAACCCACAACGTTGTGAGTGCGTGTGTTATTTTTAATTATTAACCACACTTCTCCGCGAGAGTTACCTCCCTTGTGGGTGTGTTGATCCCAGTCGCCTGACGCACGTCAGTTATTCACACTGTCCTAAAGTGCTAATATCTTGCTCCACGGAATCTGGGTTAACGTTGTCCCCGACCCTCTCGACAGACCTACCCGCTTCACTGAAATGGGTCTGATCGAGCTTGACTGGTACCCTGGACTTCGCTTCCTTTGGGGAGAGTCATGTTTTTCCCCTTAATTTTTTGAGGCTGAGATATTTTCTTCGTTAAAGAGAGATGAGATTTTTTTACGTCACATTTCAAACTCACAACATTCTTGAAAGAATGTTAAACATTTCTCACTATTCACTAAACCAGTACAGATGTAGGTGATATTTAAACGGAACATTGAAAATTATAGTATAATAAAGCTTTTTATATAATAAAAGACAATTTTTACAACACCGCGTGTAGCAAAAGCCAAGTGTGCAGTTTTCTTTAGACTTGCAACTGGTCAATGTGACATGCTTGTACTGACAACTGCTCGAGGAATGTACTTTTCAATTACTAAGTTTGTGGACGATGGACATAAATAACATAACTATCAGTTAACCCTTGGAGCCATGCAATGGCCTTTGACTCTAAGAGATGGGTGTGTTGTATGCATGTAGGTATGGGTGCATTGTCTGTGTGTTTGAGTATGCATTTGGATGGGAATGGTGTATGGCATAATGTTTAGGTGGTGGTGTATCATATGTAGGTATGGTTGCACATATGTGTGTGTGAGTACACATATGTGTGGATGTGTGGATTGTGTGTGTAGGTGTGGGTGGGATGGAGCTGTGGCCATATGTTTGTGTGAGGGTATATGTATGTATGTGTAGGGTGTGTGTATGTGTGCAGTGTGGGGGGTATATGTATGTATGTATGTATGTATGTATGTATGTATGTATGTATGTATGTATGTATGTATGTATGTATGTATGTATGTATGTATGTATGTATGTATGTATGTATGTATGTATGTATGTATGTATGTATGTATGTATGTGTAGGGTGTGTGTATGTGTGCAGTGTGGGGGTATATGTATGTATGTGTAGGGTGTGTGTGTATTATGCAGTGTGGGGGTATATGTATGTATGTGTAGGGTGTGTGTGTATTATGCAGTGTGGGGGGT